AGACAAGCAATCAGTCAAATGTGTAGAATCAGTTTATGTGGCTACATACATTACTGTACTAACTTATCATTGCGCTCAGCCAAAACATGTTACTCGAGAACAAGTAATAGATTCAAAAGACCAAAGTAGAAGAATATGTCTTTAGATAGAGACAACAAGATGAATTAAATATCACATTTAGAAACTATAGTGAGAGTAGATCTTTGATGAACTGTCCAATGTGCACAGCTCTCACCTGAGGTTCTGCCTGGAGCTCCGTTTTGCGCATCGGTGTGTGCTCAAGTGATGTGTGTTTTCAGCGTTGTAGTGTGGATGGAGAGCTGTTCAAAAATACTGGGTGAAACGCCAGTGTGGGGGTGGATTGTTTTTATTCTAGAACTTCGTTTTTACACCCCAACACTCTCCTTGTAACTTTTCTGGACATAAACATTTGTAATTATGTTTATATCTATTTAGATAACTCTAATTATTAATAGCAACCTGTAAATACATTCATCTATTGTAAATCTCTGTTCATAGTTAATACAACCTGTAAATAATGTTCAAAGTAAATCCATCTGTAAATATCACCATAGTTTTTCTATAGTTTTTCTGCAATTGCTACTATCGCACTCCTGGTTAGACCTAAACTGCATTTCAATGCCTTGTACTTGGGCATGTGTAATGACATTAAAGCTGAATTTTATATAATCTCTAATCTAATCTTAATAAAAGAGTAAACATTACACTAAATTAAGCTTTTTAATAACTATGGGCTCTATTTTAACGATCTAGGTGCAAAGTCTAAAGCGCATGGTGCAAAAGCATTAAGGGCGTGTCCAAATCCACTTTTGCTTGTTTAAGGACAAAAAAATATGCTCTGTGCCACGGCGCATGGTTTAACAGGGTTGTGCTTATTCTCTTAAAGAGTTATGGGTGTGTTTTGAGCATAATGTGCATTAAACTAATCAGAGTCTCATCTCCCATTCCCTTTAAGATTCAGTTGCGTCAAGATATGGAGCATTTGCTATTTTCATGGCGGACTTTGAAAGTTAAAAAACTGAATGCTTCACTAGCAAGAAAACAGCTAAACAGATCATCTGCAGCGCGAGGATAAAGAATGAGCCTCCTCCATTCAGCCTCTTTGCTTTGTCTTTACCTTTACTCCTTTACTTTTATGGATAAAGAAACGGTGGAAACTCACTTGGCTGAAGTAAGCACACTCGTGAGTCCACAAAGCGGCGCAAATGGATTTATTATTTTAACAACCTGGTGCAAAATGTTAAAATTAGGGTTATGCTGGTCTGAAAATAGGAAGACATTGCGTCAAACACATCTTGCACCTTATTGCACCGGGTGTATGATAGGGCTCTTTATGTATACAAAATTTCTAAGTCAGACATAACTGGAACAAATCTGTTACCATTTACTTACATTCAACGCAATAGAACAAACTGTTCAAAAAAATACAACAGAGCTTTCTGGCAGAATCAATCCTTTAATCACATTTCTTAGTCACTGATGATGACAATCCTTGTTCAGCATCATCAAACCAACACTAACCAGCATAAAATACCAACACAGAAATAACGGATTTCCAACGGATTTCACTCCATCTTAAATTCCACCATCAGCCTTTCGTCTCCTCCTCCTCATCTATATGTCTCTCCACATCAACAACACCTCTCTCTCTCTCTCTCTCTCTCTCTCTCTCTCTCTCTCTCTCTCCTTTTCCAATATTAAAGTCTCATGGGAATGGAGTAATGGAGTCACGTGGTCCCGCTATACTACAACACTCCTCCACACACACGTCTGTCTCTCTCTGCTTCCCTGTGAGGTGACATTTCAGACGTGGCCTGATGGCTGATCCCTACAGAGTCGCTGTGATCAGCCCTGTGTTCACCAGTGTGTGTGTGTGTGTGTGTGTATGAGCGCTCATTAAGGCATGAGAGACCAGCAGCCACCCAGACCTTTACTGTGCATGTAACATCACTTCACGCTGAGCTCCAGGTATACATCTGCATTTATATCAAATAGAAATCTAATGCTAGAAACGTCTTTGTTGTAACTTGAATCGATTAAAAGTGATTTATAAACTATATACATTTGAAGTCTAAATGATTAGCCCTCCTGTAAATTGTTTTTTTTATATTTCCCAAATGATGTTTAACAGAGAAAGGAATATTTTACAATATTTCCTATAATATTTTTTTCTTCTGGAGAAAGTCTCATTTGTTTAAGCTGTTTTTATATATATTTACTGTAAGTAATGTAAATATATAAATATTTATATTTATATATACTTGTACCTTGAAAAATATCTAGTAAAATATTATGGACTCATTATGGCAAAGATAAAATATAAATTAGCTATTAAAACTATTATGTTTAGAAATGTGTTAGAAAAAATATTCAGAAATGGGGGTGGGGGGGGTGGGGGGTGGTATACAGGGCGCTAATAATTCTGACTTCAATTGTACATTTAAAAAAATATGGCATTTAATGTATTTTTTGTTACACAAAAATGTTAAGCAGAATTACTATTTTCAACACTGATAATACAAAATAACCCAAATCTGCGAATTATAAGCTCAAATTCAGTTTTGTCATCAGAGAAATAAACTGTAATTTCAAATATATAAAAACAGAAACTGATATAATATTTCACAATACTTATTCATTCATTTTCTTTTCGGCTTAGTCACATTATTATTCAGGGGTCGCCACAGCGGAATGAACTGACAGCATATGTTTTACCCAGCGGATGCCCTTCCAGCTGCAAACCATAACTGGGAAACACCCATACACTCTCATTCACTACGGACAATGTCAAACAAATGCTGAACTAGTTTATAATTCATTCCGCTGTGGCAACCAATAAAATTGTCACTAAGCTAAAGAAAAACGAATTAATGAATTTATATTTATAAATAAAAATGATTTTAATTTAATATAATTAACATTTTATTACCGATTTCCGAAAAGCTATATTGCCTAGGACTAACAAACTATATATTTGTATATTTTTTAGTGAATAATGTATGCTACAAAAATGTTTTCAACACAGATAATTAGGGATGTAACGGTATTGTAAATACCGTCATACCGCAATATTAATTTTTTTCGATATTACCGTAGTCGCATGACTCGGTAAAACTATAGGTCTTCTGAGAAAATTTGCTCAGGCGAATGAAGCGAACGGGAGGTACCGTAAACTACAATTCCCATCAGCCCAGGCTTGGCCATAATCCCTTGCGGTCTGTTGTCGCTACAGATCCAGTAATGCGGAAATGGAGTGTGCTGCTAGAAGCGGGGATCAAAAAGAGCTGGAAAACCCTAAAGCGGGTGTTGTCGCCGCGCGCGTACTGAATAGTGGTGTTGTCGCGCGAGTTCTTATCAGCTGTGTTGTCGCGCGCGTACTGAATAGCCGTGTTGTCGCGCGCGTACTGAATAGCCGTGTTGTCGCGCGCGTACTGAATAGCCGTGTTGTCGCGCGAGTTCTGATCAGCTGTGTTGTCGCGCGCGTACTGTAAAGCGGGGACGGAGGGTATGTCGCGTCGCGGGGGCACTTTTGATCATTTTGGAAGGGCACTTTCTATCCAAGACTAAAAAGGGCATGTGCACTGCACAGGTTAAGCACTGTGTGTGCACGTGCCTGCAAGTTGGGGAATACGACTAATATCATGGGGACTGCAGAAACACAGCACACTGTTCAGATTGATGCAGACATGAGATCTCTATCTCACTCAATGCACAATACCCACTGCTGTCAACCTGGGCCAAGTCATATCTCTCTTGTCCCAGAAACCTCAGTCCCAAATGAGAGGGTTTTTTTCTGTTGCAAGGGACATTGTAAATACCCAGAGATACCAGCTTTTACCAGATTATATTTATATGATAATTTTCCTTTAAACCCATCTCTATCTAAGTGAGTGAGTGATTAAATGTTGAATGTGATGAGTTTTCAACAATACTAAATTGAAACTTTATTTTTTTACATGGTTTAATATTTTTTTGTTATTAAAATTGAAGTTCCTGTTTCAAAGCTTACAGATAGATGACTAATTTGTATGTCATTGACACTTTTGGCACTTTTTTGGAGTATTTTCATAAGTTTTGTTTTTTCCTGTAAATGATTCAATAAATACCGTACCGTGACATTCATACCGAGGTATTACCGTACCGTGAAATTCTGATACCGTTACATCCCTACAGATAATCCAAAATACACAAAATTAGCAAATGAAAAAGATTAACATTAATACATTAATATATGAATAAAAAGATTAATACATTAATAATTTAATGATGCTGAAAATTCAGATTTGTCTTTAGAAAAATAAACTAAAATTTTTAAATATATAAAAACAAATGTACTATTTGAAACAGATTTATTCAATAAAATAAGCCTTATTTTTTCTAAACATTACAAAGCATAATAATTGAGCAGTAGTTTATATTATGTATAATGTGCAGTCATTTGGTCATAAAGAAATGTATAGACCTATTATCTATTCTAATATAGAATGTAATAGTAACAGACACTAAATAAAATGTGAAGTTATCTCTGAGTGAACGTGAAAGTAGGTAAAATTACTATTACAATCTGTATCATGAACAATCAACTCTTTAAATGAGTCACTGAAAAAGAGACTCAAAATAAACACTTTAGCCATCCAAAATAAGATGCATTACGCAGAAAAATAAAAAACGGTATAGAAACCTAAAATAACTTCAATTATGACATGCATGATTGAAAAAAGAGCTTTTAAAGAAAGTTGCAATGTGAAATGACTTGTCTTAAAGTCACTGAACTTCCACTTCACCAACCAGGTATATTGAAATCAGAACACCACAATCAACCAATCAGAATCAAGCATTCCAGAGAGCCATCTGATAACTGCTTATACTGACTCATAAATCAAGCAGCTAAGATTCCGTTTCGTTTTTATTTGTATTTCACTGTGACTCTAGAAACCAGTGTGTGTGTGTGTATACATGTGTGTAGTTGTTTGACTCACCCTGTGAGCACCACAACAAAATCCATGACGTTCCAGCCGTTTCTCAGGTAGGAGCCCTTGTGGAAGGCGAATCCCAGCGCCAGAATCTTAATGCCCGACTCAAAACAGAAAATAGCAATGAAATAGGGCTCCGTCTCTTCCTGCGAGAGAAAAAAACAGCACAGACGGGATTATTAGAAAGGGTATTTTCACTTCAAAATCTCAGAGTGCTTGAGATTATTAGTGAGTCTGATAATGTTTAAATCACTTACAATGTTTATAATGTTTATATTACATTGCTCTTACAGTATTTTCTAAGAATTGTGTAGGATTGTTCTTTTAACATATTATACAGTATATTGAAAAAGCGAAGTGGTTATTAGCTGATAGGTATGGGCCAGTAGAAGCTTTCTGCACCTACTGGTAGACTCAGAAGGCTGTTATCATCCATCCTTATAGTTAATCAGCTATAGATCACATACAGCTGTGGCCGGAAATTATTATTAGTATTATTTATATTATAGATTAAATTTCCCATTAATTGTATTTTATTAACGTCTACTCTTACCCTAAACCCAACCATCACAGTAATGCAAAGACAGATCTGGATAGGGAGTCTTCTCTATTAGTATAGTTGATTAACCATGTGGATGGATGATAACAGCCTTCTAAACCTACTTGTAGGCGCAGAAGGCCTCTACTGGCCTATATCTATCAAATGATAACCACTGATAATGCCTATTAAATCTAGTGATAACATTTGAAGTGGGTCTTGTTTGTATGTACCTTGTATTCACCACATTGTGGGGACCAAATATTGCAATAACTGTATATTTTGACATTACAGGGAATTTATTTAGTTCCGATGAGTAAAATAACATTTATAAACATTTCATGTTATGAGTTGGAGTAGGAGATAAAAAAAAACTGTCAGTACTGTAAAAAAATCATTATGATCAATTGAAAGTCCCTATTACGATAGCTCTATAAGTGTGCGTGTGTGTTTCTGTGTGTGAGAGAGTGTGTGTGCTTTTACCAGTCGTTCTGACAGTGGAGTTTTATCTCCAACTGGTAAGTGTTGTTCGAGAGCCAGTACGATGCAGTTGGCGATGATGGTGGTCAAAATCATCCACTCAAACGGAGTAAGGGCCAAAGTTAAGGCAAAAAACAAACTGGATTTCTCAAAATCTTTTAAACATAATAAAATCACAATGCGATCATACATATTAATGAACTCTGCAATGTAAATCAAGGCTAGCATTTCTTCATATAGCACATTTCATGCAATGTAAAGGCCAAAAAGTTAAGATAACTCAAACCATTTGAGGAAACCGATTGCAGAAACCATTTTTAGTTTAATAACTATTCCAACTTGAGGCTCCAATATGCAGTAAGCACATTAAGACGCTTGGACCATGGATTTGAATGAAGTGGCTGATGAGATCTGGTAAGAAGCCCTATCGAGAATAAAAAAGGTTCGATAAATTTGAGACATAAATTAACTCAATTTATAGTTCTACGACCACCTGGTATGGAAATAACACCAGTAGCAATCGCAAAGGCCTATATAGGATCGTGCGAACTGCTGGACGTGTAGTAGGAGGTGAGCTTCCCTCCCTCCAGGACATCTACACCAGGCGGTGCATGAGGAAAGCCAAATGAATTATCAGTGACTCCAGCCACCCAAGCCATAGACTTTTCTCTCTGCTACCATCAGGCAGACGGTTCTGCTGCATCCGATCACGCACCAGCAGACTGAAGGAAAGTTTCTTCCCTCAGATTATTAGGCTGATGAACACTTAACACACCTCACACAGACAGACTCTTCCATACCCCTCACTGCACACCATCAATATGTAGCATGCACTGCATTTTAACCAATCCATACTTGAAACAATACTGCCAACAACAACTATGTGGACACCTATTCATTGCACATATCGCTGTCAATCTTACATTGTTCTGTTTTTTTTTGGGTTTTTTTTGGGGAGTATACTGTTGTATTTTGCACTGTCATTGTATTTTGTACTGTCTGTATTTTGCACTGTCCGGAGCCAGAACCTAAGCTTTTCACTCATCATAGCACACGTGCTGCTGATGATGTGACAATAAAAGTGATTTGATTTGATTTCTCTTAAACTGGATTAAGTTAAATATTTCCCTCTGTACTGCATCTCCTAAATGTGACCGATGTGGTAGGGCAGAAGGCATTCTGGATTTATTTTGGTTTTGTCCTGTTCTTTATGAGTTTTGGTCCATCATTTTGTATATGTTTTTCAGTGCTTATGGAACAAATATCCAACCTGACTGCAATTTGGCTATTTTTAGATATTCTAATATAATGAACACCTTTCCATGCATCAACCCAACAGCAAGCCCTGATGGTTGACATGATTACAGCTTAAAAGATGATCTTACTTAATTGGAGATCTCCAAAGGCTCCCTGTTATAAGAGAAGGTTGAACAAACTGCTTTATGTCATTCAAATGGAACAACTACGTCTTGAAACTTTACAGAAAAAAGGTGAAACCACATGGGGACCATGGGGACCTTTTTTTAATGTTTATGCTACATATGATGTGTGTATACACTGTATGTGTGTGTGTGTGTGTGTAAATATATATATATATATATATATATATATATATATATATATATATATATATATATATATATATATATTTGGTAACTGAGGGGGAAGGGTAATTTAAATTTTTCTGTACTTTTTTTTCCTTCCTTTCATTGGTACTTTACTGTTTTTGTGAGAAATCTTATAAATATTAAATGAAACAAAATTTTACAAAAAAAATAATCCTATTGAGTCCTGTGAACGTAATCCATTTGAGTAAACGAAGCAATTTGAGCACAGTAATACCCAATAAATGAAGAGAACTCAAACCAACTGAGTACTGTAAAACCCAATAAGTTCAGGCAACTCAAACCACTTGAGGATATCGATTGCTACAAACCATTTGAGTTCAAAAACTAATCTATATGGGCATTATAAGTAATGAGGTATTTAATTAACTCATTACCTTCAACACTGAGTTCAAAACTCTTTTCAAATGAGTAGAATTAACTTTTAGTAAACTTATCGTTAACTACACTCATGTCATTAAACAAAGTTGATTGTTACGTTTTACAGTGTGCACATGTACGACATAGGAGTCTAATTTCTATCACTACAGACTACTTTGTTAAGTTCACTAATAAAATTCCTAAAAGAAACAATTGTAAGTGGGGTAACAGTATATTTGAAGAACATATATGTAGTATTTATTTATGTATTTATTTTAATAATATTTAAGAAGACATTAAAGAGTTTAAACACTTTTCAACAAATCATATCGTTGCCAAAATAATTCTTGCACATGTAATGCTGTCCACTTGCACAGTTTGGATAAACCATGTGCGTTGAAGTGTGTGAGTTATGTGGAGCTGTAGGCATGAGCTCACACGCACACGCACACACACACACACACACACACACACACACACACACACACACACACACACACACACACACACACACACACACACACACACACAGGGCCTGCAGGGCTGTATTAAACAGATGAGTGTGGACAGATTCAGCCTGGCTGTAATAGAGCACTCATTATCCAGTTATTGTGTGTCTCTTTACCAGCTGCCAGTGGCATTCATACCACACACACACACACACACACACACACACACACACACACACACACACGCACGCACACACACACACACTCAGTACTTGTCATAGTTATACATGTCATGTGTGTGACAAAATCACAGGCACAAAAACGCACACAAAAACACAGAGTCATTGCGATGACTGATACACACTTCAAAATAATTTTATGATGAAGCATTACATGACTAAACATGTTCATATTGCTCTTATGACAAACACAACATTACTTCATCTACTTTCAAACAACTAGAAAAGGCCATTTAACAGGTTTAACAACGGTAAAATAAATTTAAAAATAAAATAAATAACACGTATTACAAGCGTCTCGTTCTCAATGAAGCAGCATCAGATCAGACGGTGGTCCCGTGAGGTTAAATGGGTCATAACTTCAACTATTAACTTATTCCTTCAACTTATTATTTAAACTGTGTTGGTTTGTGGGTGTGCACAAGTTTAGGCAGCTATGGTCATTGTTTGTATTAATGGCGGACATTTGAAGAGCCAGCGTGATGTACACTCTGCAGGGAAAACTCTATGGATTATCTAGCTAGACAACATTTGTTTTCAAAATGGAAAAAAGGAAAAAATATATCTCATGTAAAGCGTATATGTCTCGTGTAAAAAGAAGAGATAAGTTTAAAAAGAAATAGGATGAAGTAATAGACAAATGATGTGTGTGGTAAAGGGGTGGGAAAATATTAGGCTTGAGCTTCAACCCGCTCCATTTTCGACCATGTTGAAATGTATTTTTTGTTAAAGAATTTTTATGCATGATATTTCTGTTCGAAAAATAAATCAAATCAAATCAAATCACTAAAAATAAAAAGCACTAAAAATAATGTGCTCAGACTGAGAAACTAGATAGTGTTTCATACGTATTACTTTATCAAGCAATATTTATTTTTATTATGCACTCACTGCATTTAAAAGTAGACACTTTAAGCTTTCTATAGATATATGTCTCATGTCTTTGTGTTTTGTTTTCCCGGAGTTTCAGTGCATTTTAGTGACACATTTTTTATAAACTGTTTGCAGAGAGAAAAAGGAAAGAATGCCTGTTTATTTTTCTTATTTTACAAAAGCACACACTTTTGTTGTCATTGTGAGTGTACACAAAAAAATAGACACCGATTTTTTGATTTTTTTTTTTACCTAACAGACCGAACAGACTCTGCACAGCACCCTAAACAGTAGGCGGGGAGACAAGTGCTAGTCACTGAATCCAGCATAAGGGTTCTCAACTGTCCGCCACATTCTTTCTTTATATTATGCACTGCGATTGTCTTAAGTCATCTGTGGTCAATGCTCAGATGTTGTAACAAAATCTGAACTCTGACTCGACTTTGCGTGTACACGCATCACAAAGCGCCTGCAGTTAAAGTTTCAAACTCACAGTGGTTTATCATAAACCTTTTATTGATAATTTTTCCCGCAATTAACAGCAAGGACAAACATAGAAGCGTTGTCTGATTGACAAGCAGCACCTTCATGTGTTCAAAAGAATTTAAAACGGCAAATGTCTTTTGGCGAATTCATGCTGCATTTTCTACCATAATACTAACTGTTTAGCTTTTCACTTGTACAATGGCTCTGAACTGTCAAAACACCTCTCAAAACGCCTTTTCGGACATTGCATATTTGTACATAACAGTTAAAGCTTATAGCATAACATAACAGTTTAGTCTCCACTTCACTTCCTAATCTGCAATTGCCTCCCTGGTTATACCACTAACTGTACTCAAAAAAAAAAAAAAAAAAATGACTAATACTTTCCTTCTTAGACTTTACAGACCTGAAACTTGCCTATAGCACTTATTCATTGTTGCTCTTATAGTTGTGTAAATTGCTTCCTTGTCCTCATTTGTAAGTCGCTTTGGATAAAAGCGTCTGCTAAATGACTAAATGTAAATAAAGCAAACAAACAAACAAACAAACAAACAAGGTGTGGATCAAAACCGGCAGAACAAGGCAAAGGAAAACGCGTTGTAATGTCACATAAACAGATGACAAGACTCAGCAACACAGAAACAGAGGGTAAATAGTCTAAGTATTCAGTGATCATGAGCATCAGCTGTGTGTATGTGTCTCCAAATGACTGTCAGCTGTGGCAGCAGTGATTAGGGCAAAGATTTATGGGATTTGTAGTTGGAGAAAACACTGCTGGTGATTACAACAAACTACAGGAAATAGGGCTGTAACGATACACGATATAAAATCGAAATCGCGACACTCAGATCTACGATCCTGTGTCGCGGTGTGATAAGGCAGAATCGCGACACACCCCGTGATACCTTTCCAATGACGTCACGCGTGCCTGCAAAAGTTGAGCTAATTAACACTTTTTTTCGTTCGACATTACAAGCACTGCTCTGTTTAAGCCTTTGCAATATTTATCCGGGAGAGCTCGCACGGAGCTCTTAGTAAGGGACCGTCTGAATGTGTCAGGAATATCAAAAACAAAAC